GCTAAGGGAAGTGAAGCGAAGCAAAGCTAAGCGAAGCGAAGAGATGCAAAGAGAAGCGGAGCGAAGAGAAGCGAAGCTAAGAGAAGCAAAGCAAAGCTAAGGGAAGTGAAGCGAAGCAAAGCTAAGCGAAGCGAAGCGAAGCAAAGCAAAGCGAAGCGAAGCTAAGAGAAGCGAAGCGAAGCGAAGCGACGCGAAGCGAAGCGAAGCTAAGTGAAGCGAAGCGAAGCAAAGCTAAGCGAAGCAAAGCAAAGTTAAGCGAAGCTAAGCTAAGCGAAGCGAAGCTATGCGAAGCGACGCGAAGCTAAGCGAAGTGAAGCGAAGCGAAGAGAAGCGAACCGAAGCTAAGGACAGTGAATCGAAGCGAAGCAAAGCAAAGCGAAGCAAAGCTAAGCGAAGCGAAGCGATGCTAAGCGAATCTTAGCGGAACTAAGCGAAGCTAAGCGAAGGTAGGTGAAGCTAAGCGAGGAGAAGCGAAGCGATGCTAAGCGAAGCGAAGCGAAGCTAAGCAAAGCAAAGCAAAGTTAAGCGAAGCTAAGAGAAGCGAAGCTAAGCGAAGCGAAGTGAAGCTCAGCGAAGCTAAGCGAAACGAAGCGAAGCTAAGCGAAGCGAAGCGAAGCGAAGCGAAGCGAAGCGAAGTTAAGCGAAATGAAGCTTAGCGAAGCGAAGCTAAGTGAAACGAAGCGAAGAGAAGCAAAGAGAAGCAAAGCAAAGAGAAGCGAAGAGATGCATAGAGAAGCGGAGCGAAGAGAAGCGAAGCTAAGAGAAGCAAAGCAAAGCTAAGCGCAGCTATGCGAAGGGAAGCGAAGCTAAGCGAAGCTAAGCGAAACTAAGCGAAGCGAAGTGAAGCTAAGGGAAGCAAAACGAAGCTAAGGGAAGCGAAGCGAAGCGAAGCTAAGCGAAGCGAAGCAAAGCGAAGGAAAGCAAAGCAAAGCGAAACAAATCTATGTGAAGCTAAGCGAAGCTAAGTGAAGCTAAGCGAAGCTAAGCGAAGCGAAACGAAGCCAAGCAAAGCTAAGCGAAGCGAAGCGAAGCCAAGCGAAGCTAAGCGAAGCTATTCAAAGAGAAGCTAAGCAAAGCAAAGCGAAGTTAAGCAAAGCTAAGAGAAGCGAAGCTAAGCGAAGCGAAGTGAAGCTAAGCGAAGGGAACCGAAGCTAAGCAAAGCGAAGCGAAGAGAAGCAAAGAGCAGCAAAGAGAAGCAAAGCGAAGCTTATCGCAGCTATGCGGAGCGAAGCGAAGCTACGCGAAGCTAAGCAAAGCGAAGCGAAGCTAAGCAAATCGAAGCTAAGCGAAGCTAAGCGAAGCAAAGCGAAGTTAAGGGAAACTATGCGACGCAAAGTGAAGCTAAGCGAATCTATGCGAAGCTAACCAAAGCAAAGCAAAGCTAAGCGAATCTAAGCGAAGCGAAGCGAAGCTAAGCGAAGCCAAGGGAAGCTAAGCGAAGTTAAGCGAAGCGAAGCTTAGCAAAGCGAAGCTAAGCGAAGCGAAGCGAAGAGAAGCAAAGAGAATCGAAGCGATGAGAAGCGAAGCGAAGCTTAGCGAAGCGAAGCGAAGAGAAGCAAAGAGAAGTGAAGCGAAGAGAAGCGAAGCTAAGAGAAGCAAAGCGAAGCTAAGCGCAGCTATGCGAACCGCAGCGAAGCGAAGCTAAGGGAAGCTAAGGGAAGCGAACCAAAGCTAAGGGAATTGAAGCAAACCTAAGCGAAGCTACGCGAAGCAAAGCGAAGCGAAGCGAAGAGAAGCGAAGAGAGGCAAAGAGAAGCTAAGCGAAGCGAAGCGAAGCTAAGAGAAGCGAAGCGAAGCGAAGCGTAGCTAAGCGAAGAGAAGCGAAGAGAAGTGAAGCAAAGCTAAGCAAAGCAATGCGAAGTGAAGAGAAGCTAAGCGAAGCAAAGCGAAGAGAAGCATAGAGAAGCGAAGCGAAAAGAAGCAAAGCAAAGAGAAGCAAAGCGAAGCTAAGCGCAGGTATGCGAAGCGAAGCGAAGCTAAGCGAAGCTAAGAGAAGCAAAGCAAATCTAAGCGCAGCTATGCGAAGCGAAGCGAAGCTAAGGGAAGCGAACTGAAGCGAAGCGAAGCTAAGGGAAGCAAAGCGAAGCGAAGCTAAGGGAAGCGAAGCAAAACGAATCTAGGCTAAGCGAAGTGAAGCTTAGCGAAGCTAAGCGAAGTGAAGTATAGCGAAGCTAAGCGAATCTAAACGAAGCTAAGAGAACCAAAGCGAAGCGAAGCAATCTTGTTAGGATTAAGGACGGAGTCTAGGTGAACTTAGGAGCTAGAATTACTCGAAATATAAATCCGAAATTCTGGACAGAAAAGTCATCTTCACAAGGAACGACGTCGACGAAAAACTAGCTGTTGGAATGTCGCGAAAATCGGATATGTTGTAGATTGTAATCTTAGCTACCGTTCTTGTTGTAGATTTATCTTTCCAGGGGGTTTTACCTCATCAAGCATATCTTCCTGTGGGGTCATGTGACTGGTGCAACCTGAATCAATCACCCAGTGCATGAGAGGGTGCATCACAACCTTTCCTACAGATCCCACATCACCCTCATGCCCATGCACATCCTCAACCATGAGAAACATCCCAGGATAGGTATTACCTTGTGCACCTGAGCCTTGCACAGCGCCACCTTGTGCGCGTTCACCACTTGGCGACAGATGCCTGGAGGTGCCCATCCCTCCGGCCTGCTAAAGCACTTGAACCAAGGATGTCCGACCTTCTTGCAGTACCAGCAGGTGCCCTCCATTCTGGTACTCCCCCTACCACCAGAGCTCCCATGCCCCTCATTATAGTCACCTCGGCCTCTACCTCTGCCAAAGCTCCTCCCATGGCCTCGGCCTCTCCAACCCCCTCTTCCTCTGCCACGCCCCGCAGCTCCATACCCCTCAGCAGTCTTAGTGGCAGCACCGCCTCCCACATGGCGTCTGCGGAAGTCCTCCTGCAGAATCTGCTGCCTTAGCCACTCAGGTGTCCATTGATCTTGCTGAGAGTTGAGGGTGGGGATGAGGTTGTCCCAAGAGTTGTCCAACACCGAGATGATCTTGGTGCACTGCTGCAGCTGAGATACACTGCTGCCCACTGCTGCCATCCTTGCATAGGTGTCCTTGATCTTGTCAAGGACCGGCTTCACATCGTCCCCTGGTCGCATGGAGATGGCAGCAAGTTCCTTCTCGAGCACGATCACCATCGGGAGAGTGTTGGGCTGAATCACATCGCGTAGTAGTTTCCACGCCCTTGGACCCGAATCATCCGCTTCCACAAGATCCTTGATGTGCTCGAACATCTCCTTGTTGACCGATTGAAGGATGAGGTCAAAAAGCACCGCGCTTTTCTCAATCCACCGCTCACGTGCTTCGCCTTCTTCCGGCATCTTCTCCTCCCCAACAGCAATCTTCAGTAGCTTGTAGCGTTTGAAGGCACTCCTCATGTGCCCGCTCCATTCCTCATAGTTGGAGCCATCCAAAGCTTCAACTTTTGATGGTGGCGGCTCACTTGTCTTCTCAGGTACAGCTCATCTTCCATTAGCATCTCCTCCTCTCTCATTCATCTTCTCCTTGAGAAATGACGAATTTCAGCTCCCCCTTTGCTGTCGAGACTCAGCTCCCTCGATATTTTCACAAGTGTCGGCGTCCACGAAATTTCGGCAGAGTTTCCCCTTAGCGGAAGACACATCCAACCTTTAGAACACCACTTAGGCACACCCACAGGCCATGGTAGGTCTAGAAAAGTCTTCAAACTTTTGTAGACTCCTCTTAATGTCCTTAATATCGCTCTGATACCACTTGTTAGGATTAAGGACGGAATCTAGGTGAACTTAGGAGCTAGAATTACTCAAAATATAAATCTGAAATTCTGGACAGAAAAGTCGTCTTCACAAGAAACGACGTCGACAAAACACTAGCCGTTTGAATGTCTCGAAAATCGAATATATTGTAGCTTGTAATCTTAGCTACCGTTCTCAATTTGAATCATGTCAATTGATGGAGTATTCGCGACGCTATGTCTTTCGACGCACTGAGGGGTAAGCTGTAGGAGGAGAACTTAACTCAATCTCAAAAAGTTCAATCAAAGTTCAAGAATCTCACAAGGAATTGGAGGAGCAAGAGAAAGGTTGGGATGGAAGAGAGGGATGAGAGAAGAGGTCCCAAGAGAGTCCCCAACCAAGGAAACCCCATAAGCACAAAGATTCCCTCCATATAGGAACCCCAACTTTGACATTTGTCCCTTCCCAACCAATCCAACCAAGTTGGCCACCCTTGCCAACCTAGCTTGGTTGTTCCCAACCAATTTTGCAGCTGCTACAGTAGAGTGACGAATTTCCCCAACTCCCAATAGTCCCAACTCCATATAAAGTCACCCCACAATTTCACTTTGTAACCGCCGCAATTATAACGCAAGCTCATCAACTTTGAACCTTCATAGCTTTCGCGTTCTTGCTCCGATTGAAGCGATTCTTGTTGCGTCCGAAAGATCTTCTCAAGATCTATCATCACAAAATACCTGCTCAAACAAAAAAACACAAAACACATTCCCAAACTCCATAACACACCACACACAAATTCTTTCACGCACTGTCAAACCATACGTGCAAGTTGAAAACATGGGATGGGAGGCAGACAGAATGTGATAGCATATGATGACATCACACAAGAATCTCCCCCTCTGGCTGCCAACCATCATCCACCATATCACATCGCAAGCATGCATACTCAATGCACACTCATCTCACCAAGCTTCATGCCCTTCGAATGATCCGCCTCCGCCAGACGCTTAGTGAAAATATCTGCTGCCTGCTGATGGGTCTTCACTATCTCCAGCCGCACCTCCTTATCAAGGAGTCTCCTTACCCAATGCCACTTAGGCTTTATGTGTTTTGTCAGCCCATGCAGACAAGCATTCTTGGCCAGCTTCACTGCAGACTCATTGTCACAGAAGACAACTGTCGGCTCCTCCTGACCAACTCCCAACTCCTCCAACAAGCGCCTCAGCCACACCACTTCCTTGGCCCCATGGTGTAAGGCCATGTACTCAGTCTCACATGAGAACAATCCCACCTCATTCTGCTTCTTGCTGCGCCAGCTCACAGCACCACCTCCCAGCAAGCACACATAACCCCCAATGCTGGTGCCATCCGCTTTCACTGAGTTGAAGCTAGCGTCAATACCTTTGGCTGAGGAATTGCAGCCCAATAGCACAATGCAATCTCATCTTCCTCAATCTGCTCAACCACACTCCCAGCCTGCACCACATTCGGCTTGCCTCTTCCCCCATAGGTCAGCCTCACCGGAGGGCGCACATCCCTCCTAGATCGCTCAGGCGGGTGTGGAACTCGAGGTGGAGACTCATGCTGTTGCTGCTGCTGCTCCACTTCAGCTGCTCCCCCTTCCTCAGTCACCCCAGACATCTCCTCCTCAGACACTGCAACCTCCACCTGTCTTGAAGGCCTGCCTCCACAATGAGCGGTGTAGATGGAAGCTTCTGTTGCTGCTGCTTCCATTCCTTGTAGTACAGGGACTCCAGAAACTTCACATCCTTGACACTGTCAACTTCTGGGTGGTCAAGTCCCATAGCAGCCACCCCTTGTGATCCTTTGCAATCCCCAAGTGCACACCCCATCTTCCAGAAGCCTCCAACTTCCCCCTTTTCTCCTTAGGCACATGAAACACCACATGGCACCCAAATGCCCTCAGCATGTTCACAGCTGGAGCACTCCCATACCACTTGGTATATGGGATCCACTCCTTATCCCCAACTGTAGCCACCACCCTGTTCTTCACAAGGGCGACCTGCCTCAGTGCAGACACCCAAAACGGATCAGGCAGCCCTGCACGCCCAAGGAGAGTGCGTGCCCCCTCCTACAGGGTCCTGTTGAACCTCTCAGCCACGCCATTCTGCTGCGCGTTGTAGGGCACTGTCAATTGATGTTGGATCCCCTTCCTCTTCAACTCCCCCTCAAAATCAGCTCCAATGAACTCCCCACCATTATCACTGCGGATCACCTTCACCTTGTGTCCGCATTCCCTCTGAGCTCTAGGCATCCACTCCTTAAGGACAGCCGCTGCCACCTCCCCCTTGCTCTTCAAAGGGTAAACCCACACTTCCCGAGTGTGGTCATCCACAATTGTCAAGAAATAGCGGTTGCCTGAGAGGGAAGGGGCTCTTGTGGGCCCCACCACATCCATGTGCACAAGTGCAAGTGGGGTCTTGGCTGGTCCTGTAGTGCTGTTGAAGGGGAACTTGGAGAACTTGGTCTCCAAGCATGTAGGGCAGCTCCCAATCTCCTTCACTCCTCCCTTGACCTCCAAGCCCTTCAGGCTCCCGTCCTTCACCAATTTCTGCAGCATAGGGAAGTTCACATTACACAGCCTCTCATGCCATGTCTCCCAATCGGCCTCTCCACTCCTTGATGAAGCCTTAGCCCATGCCGCACTCGCATCCACACCAGCAAGCACCTCACCATGTGTCTGCTGCTGCTGCACTTTCTTAACTGCTTCCAGGACCCCATCACTTGGTGCAGTTGCATCTCCTCCTGCTGTTGCCTTTGCCGCTGTTGCCGTTGCTGCTGTTGGAGTTTTCCCATTCCAAAGGATGATGGGCAGCTGCCACAGGTCCTTGATGCAGCTGGTCTCCTCTTTCAGACTCCACAGCACCTTCTTCCCAAGCTTAGCACGGCAGCTGGTTGGTCCAAAGGTCACTTCGGCCTTGCTCTTCTGCAGTCGCCGCACAGAGAGAAGGTTAGCACACAAACCTTCAACCAGCAGAACATTCCCAAGCCCCACAAGCTCCCCATTAGCTCCCTTAACCTTGGCATTCCCAACACCAATCACAGGGAGCAAAACACCTGACGCTGCTGCCACATACTTAATCTTTCCAGGGGGTTTTACCTCATCAAGCATATCTGCCCGTGGGGTCATGTGACTGGTGCAACCTGAATCAATCACCCAGTGCGTGAGAGGGTGCATCACAACCTTTCCTACAGATCCCACATCACCCTCATGCCCATGCACATCCTCAACCATGAGAAACATCCCAGGATAGGTATTACCTTGTGCACCTTCACCTTGTGCACCTGAGCCTTGCACAGCGCCACCTTGTGCGCGTTCACCATTTGGCGGCTACATGCCTGGAGGTGCCCATCCCTCCGGCCTGCTGAAGCACTTGAACCAAGGATGTCCGACCTTCTTGCAGTACCTGCAGGTGCCCTCCATTCTGGTACTCCCCCTACCACCAGAACTCCCATGCCCATGCACATCCTCATACCCCTCAGCAGTCTTAGTGGCAGCACCACCTCCCACATGGCGTCTGCGGAAGTCCTCCTGCAGAATCTGCTGCCTTAGCCACTCAGGTGTCCATTGATCTTGCTGAGAGTTGAGGGTGGGGATGAGGTTGTCCCAAGAGTTGTCCAACACCGAGATGATCTTGGTGCACTGCTGCAGCTGAGATACACTGCTGCCATCCTTGCATAGGTGTCCTTGATCTTGTCAAGGACCGGCTTCACATCGTCCCCTGGTCGCATGGAGATGGCAGCAAGTTCCTTCTCGAGCACGATCACCAGCGGGAGAGTGTTGGGCTGAATCACATCGCGTAGTAGTTTCCACGCCCTTGGACCCGAATCATCCGCTTCCACAAGATCCTTGATGTGCTCGAACATCTCCTTGTTGACCGATTGAAGGATGAGGTCAAAAAGCACCGCGCTTTTCTCAATCCACCGCTCACGTGCTTCGCCTTCTTCCGGCATCTTCTCCTCCCCAACAGCAATCTCCAGTAGCTTGTAGCGTTTGAAGGCACTCCTCATCCGCCCGCTCCATTCCTCATAGTTGGAGCCATCCAAAGCTTCAACTTTTGATGGCGGCAGCTCACTTGTCTTCTCAGGTACAGCTCCTCTTCCATTAGCATCTCCTCCTCACTCATTCATCTTCTCCTTGAGAAATGACGAATTTCAGCTCCCCTTTGCTGTCCACACTCAGCTCCCTCGATATTTTCACAAGTGTCGGCGTCCACGAAATTTCGGCAGAGTTTCCTCTTAGCAGAAGACACATCCAACCTTTAGAACACCACTTAGGCACACCCACAGGCCATGGTAGGCCTAGAAAAGTCTTCAAACTTCTGTAGACTCCTCTTAATATCCTTAATATCGCTCTGATACCACTTGTTAGGATTAAGGACAGAGTCTAGGTGAACTTAGGAGCTAGAATTACTCAAAATATAAATCCGAAATTCTGGACAGAAAAGTCGTCAAACCATACGTGCAAGTTGAAAACATGGGATGGGAGGCAGAAAGAATGTGAAAGCATATGATCACATCACACAACAAATCTAAGCGCAGCTAAGCGAAGCAAAGCTAAGCGAAGCGAAGCTAAGCAAAGCAAAGCGAACAGAAGCAAAGAGAAGCGATGCGAAGAGAAGCGAAGCTAAGAGAAGCAAAGCGAATCTAAGCGCAGCAATGCGAAGCGAAGCGAATCTAAGGGAAGCGAACTGAAGCTAAGGGAAGCGAAGCGAAGCTAAGCTAAACGAAGCGAAGCGAAGCGAATCTAAGCTAAGCAAAGTGAAGCTAAGCGAAGCGAAGCGAAGCTAAGCGAAGCGAAGCAAGGCTAAGCAAAGCGAAGCGAATCGAAGCGAAGCTAAGCAAAGCGAAGCGAAGCTAAGCGCAGAGAAGCGAAGCGAAGTGAAGAAAAGCTAAGGGAAGCTAAGCAAAGCGACGCTAAGCGAAGCGAAGGGAAGCTAAGAAAAGCGAAGCGAAGCTAAGCGAATCTAAGCGAAGCTAAGCCAAGCAAAGCGAAGCTAAGCGAATCTAGGCAAAGCTAAGCGAAGAAAAGCGAAGCTAAGCGAAGGGAAGCGAAGCGAAGAGAAGCAAAGAGAAGTGTAGCGAAGAGAAACAAAGCTAAGAGAAGCAAAACGAAGCAAAGCGCAGCTATGCGAAGCGAAGCGAAGCTAAGCGAAGCTAAGCGAAGCGAAGTGAAGCTATAAGAAGCGAACCGAAGCTAAGGGAAGCGAAGCGAAGCGAAGCTAAGGAAAGCTAAGCGAAGCGAAGCGAAGCTAAGCGAAGCGAAGCAAAGCTAAGCGAAGCGAAGCAAAGCCAAGCGAATCTAAGCAAAGTTAAGCGAAGCAAAGCGAAGCGAAGTGAAGCTAAGCGAAGCCAAGCAAAGCTAAGCGAAGAGAAGCAAAGCAAAGCCAAGCGAAGCTAAACGAGCTAAGCGAAGCTAAGCGAAGCAAAGCGAAGCTAAGCAAAGCGAAGCTACGTGAAGCAAAGCGAGGTTAAGTGAAGCTAAGCGTAGCGAAGCTAAGCGAAGCGAAGCGAAGCTAAGCGAAGCAAAACGAAGAGAAGCGAAGAGAGGCAAAGCGAAGCTAAGCGAAGCGTAGCTAAGCGAAGCTATGAGAAGCGAAGCGAAGTGAAGCTAAGCGAAGCACAGCAAACTGAAGCGAAGCGAAGCTAGGCGAAGCGAAGCAAAACGAAGCTAAGCGCGAAGAGAAGCGAAGAGAAGCGAAGGGAAGCTAAGCGAAGCGAAGCGAAGAGAAGCACAGAGAGCGAAGCGAAACGAAGCAAAGCTAAGCGCAGGTATGCGAAGCTTAGCGAAGCTAAGCGAAGCAGAGCGAAGCGAAGCGAAGCGAAGCGAAGAGAAGCGAAGCGAAGCTAAGGGAAGCGAACCGAAGCTAAGGGAAGCGAAGCGAAGCTAAGCGAAGCGAAGCGAAGCTAAGCGAAGCGAAGTGAAGCTAGGCGAAGCTAAGCGAAGCAAAGTGAAACGAAGCAAAGCTTAGCTAAGCTTAGCTAAGCTTAGCGAAGCGAAGTGAAGCTAAGGGAAGCGAACTGAAGCTAAGGGAAGCGAAGCGAAGCTAAGCTAAGCGCAGCTATGCGAAGCGAAGCAAGGCTAAGCGAAGCTATGAGAAGCAAACGGAAGCTAAGGAAAGCAAAGCTAAGCGAAGCGAAGCGAAGCTAAGCGAATCTAAGCGAAGCTAAGCGAAGAGAAGCGAAGCTAAGCGAAGTGAGGCGAAGCGAAGCGAAGGTAAGCGAAGGTAAGCGAAGCGAAGCAAAGAGAAGCAAAGAGAAGCAAAGCGAAGAGAAGCGAAGCTAAGAGAAGCAAAGCAAAGCTAAGCGCAACTATGCGAAGCGAAGCAAAGCTAAGCGAAGCTAAGGGAAGCGAAGCTAAGCGAAGCAAAGCGAAGCGAAGAGAAGCAAAGAGAAGCGAAGCGAAGCTAAGTGAAGCTAAGTGAAGCTAAGCAAAGCAAAGAGAAGCATAGAGAAGCGAAGCGAAGCTAAGAGAATCAATGCGAAGCTAAGCACAGGTATGCGCAGTGAAGCGAAGCTAAGCGAAGCAAAGCAAAGCGAAGCGAAAACGCTTGAGATACCATAACTTCCCACACACCTGGGTTTTGCATCCGAGCACAGGCCAGCATGCTCTTGAGCCCATACACTAACCATGCATGCCAAAAGCAAGATGTTTGAGCACGCTCAATAGCAAGATAACCAAGTTGAGGTCTCGTAGGAAAATGCTCAAGTACTGGAAAAAGGAGCACATACAATACCATAACTTTTTGCACACTTAGGCTTTCGATCTGAGCACAAGCCACAATTATCTTGACCCCATGCACTAACTGCTCATGCAAAACAAGGGCTTAGAAATTGCTTTGTATCTGAAAAACAAAATGAAAAGTTGAGGTTTTGTTGGGCAATGCTATAGTGTTTAGTCTTGGGACAATAGTAGGCATACTATAACTTCCCAACCACTTGGATTTTGGATCTGAGCACAAGCCATGATGCTCTTGAGGCCATACACTAGCTATGTATGCAAAGGGAAAGAGTTTTGGTGAACAATATCCTAAATGAAAAAACAGGTTGTTGTTTGGTGGGGTACCACTCAAGAACTTGGATATGCGAAAACGCTTGAGATACCATAACTTCCCACAAACCTGGGTTTTGCATCCGAGCACAGGCCAGCATGCTCTTGAGCCCATACACTAACCATGCATGCCAAAAGCAAGATGTTTGAGCATGCTCAATAGCAAGATAACCAAGTTGAGGTCTCGTAGGAAAATGCTCAAGTACAGGAAAAAGGAACACATACAATACCATAACCTTTTGCACACTTAGGTTTTGGATCTGAGCACAAGCCACGATTATCTTGAGCCCATGCACTAACTGTTCATGCAAAACAAGAGCTTAGAAATTGCTTTGTATGTGAAAAACGAAATGAAAAGTTGAGGTATTTTTGGGCAAGGCTCTAGTGTTTAGTCATGGGACAATAGTTGACATACTATAACTTCCCAACCACTTGGATTTTGGATCTGAGCACAAGCCATGATGCTCTTGAGGCCATACACTAGCTATGTATGCAAAGGGAAAGAGTTTTGGTGAACAATATCCTAAATGAAAAAACAGGTTGTTGTTTGGTGGGGTACCACTCAAGAACTTGGATATGCGAAAACGCTTGAGATACCATAACTTCCCACACACCTGGGTTTTGCATCCGAGCACAGGCCAGCATGCTCTTGAGCCCATACACTAACCATGCATGCCAAAAGCAAGATGTTTGAGCACGCTCAATAGCAAGATAACCAAGTGCTCCTGACCAAGTGCTCCAAACAAAGTGCTCCAGAAGAAAGTGTTCCAGACGAAAGTGCTCTAGACAAAAGTGCACCAGACGAAGTGCTACAGACAAAGTGCTTCTGACGAAGTGCACAAGACGAAGTGCACCAGACGAAAGTGTACTAGACGACCTTCACCAGACGAAGTGCTCCAGACGAAATAGCACCAGACAAAGTGCTCCAGCCGAAAGTGCTCCAGACGAAGTGCTCCAAACGAACGTGCTCCAGACGAAAAGGCACCAGACGACGTGCTCCAGATGAAGTGCTCTAAACGAAGTGCTCCAGGCAAAGTGCTCCATGCGAAGTGCTCCAGACGAAGTGCTCCAGATGAAAGTGCTTTAGACGAAAGAATTCCGGACAAAAGTGCTCCAAACGAACGCGCACTAGACGAGGTTCTCTAGACAAAGTGCTCCAGACGAAGTGCTCCAGACGAAAGTGCTCCAGATGAACGTGCCCTAGACGAAGTGCTCCAGATGAAAGTGCACCAGACTAAGTGCTCCAGAAGGAGTGCTCAAGAACAAGTGCTCCAGACCAAGTGCTCCAGACCAAGTGCTCCAAACAAAGTGCTCCAGACGAATCGCTCCAGAAGAAGTGGTCTCGACAAAAGTGCACCAGAAGAAGTGCTCCAGACAAAGTGCTCCAAACAAAGTGCACAAGAAGAAATGCACCAGACGAAGGTGCTCCAGATGAAAAAGCACGAGACAAAGTGCTCCAAACGAAACTGCTCCAGACGAAGTGCTCCAAATGAAAGTGCTCCAGACGAAGTGCTCTGGACGAATGTGCACTAGACGAATTGCTCTAGACCAAGTGCTCCAGACCATGTGCTCTTGACCAGGTGCTCCAGATAAAGTTCTCTAGATGAAAGTGCTCCAGAAAGTTCTCCACACGAAAGTGCTCTAGACGAAAGTGCACAGGACGAAGTGCTCCAGATGAAGTGGTCCAGACGAAAGTGCTTCAGACAAAAGTGCACCAGACGAAGTTCACCAGATGAAAATACTCAGGACTATGTGCTCCAGACGAAGTGCTCAAGACAAACGTGCTCTAGATGGAAAAGCTCCAGACAAAGTGCTCCAGACAAAGTGCTCTAAACGAACGTGCTCTAGACCGAAAAGCACCAGACGAAGTGCTCCAAACGAAGGGCTCTAGACAAAGTGCTCCAGACGAAAGTGCTCCAGGC